TTCATACATACATACATACATACATACATACATACATACATACATACATACATACATACATACATACATACATACATACATACATACATACATACATACATACATACATACATACATACATACATACATACATACATACATACATACATACATACATACATACATACATACATACATACATACATACATACATACATACATACATACATACATACATACATACATACATACATACATACATACATACATACATACATACATACATACATACATACATACATACATACATACATACATACACACATACATACATACATTCATACATACATATATACAAACACATATACATACATGCATGCATGCGTGCAAACATACAAACATACATACATCTATTCATCCATCCATTCTTACACATACATACATACATACATACATACATACATACATACATACATACATACATACCTACCTACCTACCTACCTACCTACCTACCTACCTACCTACCTACCTACCTACCTACCTACCTACCTACCTACCTACCTACCTACCTACCTACCTACCTACCTACCTACCTACCTACCTACCTACCTACCTACCTACCTACCTACCTACCTACCTACCTACCTACCTACCTACCTACCTACCTACCTACCTACCTACCTACCTACCTACCTACCTACCTACCTACCTACCTACCTACCTACCTACCTACCTACCTACATACATACATACATACATACATACATACATACATACATACATACATACATACATACATACATACATACATACATACATACATACATACATACATACATACATACATACATACATACATACATACATACATACATACATACATACATACATACATACATACATACATACATACATACATACATACATACATACATACATACATACATACATACATACATACATACATACATACATACATACATACATACATACATAAACACATCTCTCACACCTTGATACACCCTTTCTCTTTTCTTGTCATAATAACAGTTTATTGTCAGTCGTAAGCAGACACATGTAACAGCGGATATACACATTATTGTTAAAGAAATCAAGTACTTATTTCAGCCTAAGTCAGACCAAACACATTCTCCTTACAAAGCCTCTGTTACAATCAGCACATACAATACTCGACAAAGTACAGCGTTGCTCTGTCACTGTGCTAGCCTTGAGCCACTCCAAACAAACTCCGACAAGCTTATGTTAACTAAAACTTCGAGCGGGAGATACGAGTGTGTCGAGTGTAGTATCTTAAAAACCGTCGAGACAAATTAAGATTATGAAGCACTCAATTTTAGTTGTCTGTAATGCTTGCATGGGAATTCGGAAATGACACTTCACAGGCAATTTGTCACGCGATAGAGCAGTAACTGGCACAAGTGTGTGCCATCGTGGTCTGTGGTTATGTGCTGGTGTTCCCATGACGAGAAATATTTGTTTGATTGACTTTCAAATTTCCATCTTTTACGATTAAATCCTTCCTCGTATGGGTTCTGGGGCCCTCTTGTGGAGGAAAACAAGAATAGACCCACTGCCTACCTACACGCATGTCGTAAGAGTCGACTAATTGGGAGCTTCCTTTGAAGTCGGATTGCATCTGCCTGAGAGGCAAGAAAACTGCAGTCTGCAAACAAATGAGTCAGATCAGTAAAACGGATGCAAACGCTACACTCGGATTTTGGAACACGACTGCAGCCCAGAAGTGGATGAACATCCAAAACTTTTCGCCAGAGTTTACAGCTGGTGAACGCGTAAAAGAAGAATATTACACTTTGAAAGACCGAAGGACTTAAGACAGCCGTTTCGGATGATAATCCTACAGCAGGAAATCCCAGAAACCCAGTTACCTGTTACTTGTTATCCGTATCGACATTCTAGCACATAGGTCCGACTCATTGGGGCTCCTTCCTCTGATGCAGGAACCATCTCAGTATCTCCATGCTCAGCATATCTAGTGACAGTTGGTTGACTGGCATATCTTCTTTCTTTTCCCCACAACCGTTTTGTTGTTGTTGCATATTTGTCTTCGTCTAATACCAAGTTCCAAAAGACTGTTGATAATCTCTGACTCATTTGTCTTACTGGAACGCATCGCATTCAATATATCTGCTATGTACATACTTCTTACTCCAGTAACAATTGCAGAAACAGCCATTCTGTCAGCTGTTTCATTTCCTTTCACAGATGCATATAGATGTGTGCATAGCCAAGATATTGTCTTGAAGTGCTACTAGTCGCAGTGCGAGCTTGGATCTTCTTAATCTGGATATTCCTAAGCCTGAGTCTGTCAATGCCAATGCGCGAGTTAGTTGGTATTTTGTTCCACCAGCCACGTCGATGTTTTTATGACAGTTGGTATCTCCATCTTCATGCTAGATGTGCTTGAACTTTATGCCTGCTTTTATTTTTTTTTACTGTCCTCTAGTTCACCTGTGCTGTGTATGCCCACCCAGACTGCAC